CTGAGGAAGATAGTGGAAAATTCGAAGAGTTCACGAATAGGTTCAGATACATATTGATTATGCGAATTGGCAAACCCTCTTTTTCGACATTTCGTTTTGATTCTTGAAAAACAGTGGTTGGGTGAAGACATTCGAGTCAGCACGCATTGGATGTCGTCGTCAGACCTTACTTCCCTTCTCGAGTTCAGCAGCTTCCTTCTCAAATGGACCTCCTGGTCTTGCGGATTCAATGGAGAGCAGCTGGATAATGATTTTAAGCACTGTTATAAGGTCACAGGCTGGTTGCCCGATTATGAATGCTCGAATACTGGACGAAATACAATAAATCAACAGCAGCAAGTACATATGTTCCAACGCATTTCCGACCGAGGTGAAGGCGCCTCCAAAGGGGAACAGCCAACGACAGGCGGATATAACCCTTCCTCCAACGTCTCATACACCAGAAAAAAATTAGGATATTTCCACACATACATAACTCCCTATTGATATCGTACAATAGAAACTAGTTCAGCCCTAACAATCAACTTTTGGTCGTCACTAGCATTCCATGGAGTGTGTGTTACATTTGAAACTGCAGTTTATAACGAGGCCGTTCAGATCTTGAGGAAGACATCTATGACTGGATTCACACAGGAAATGTCGGCAAACTTGAAGAACTTGTACTTACTGGCTATGGCGATCTGTTGCTGGGCAGAAACCACGAGGTGATTCTTCGTTTACTAATTTTTTCGTAATGGCGGCCGGTTTATTCCTTCAAGCTGCTCCACCTTTTATTAGGTTTGAGAAAAAAAGTTTTGAGAAAATTCACTTTTATTTTTAAAAGTGTAGCAAGCAAATGCCCCAACACAAAATAATATACTAAATGCTATGAGAAAGAGAAATGTTTGTAGATCAATCCTAATGCTGGTTGATGTTATTCTCCATTGTTGGTATGAGTTGACATTACCTGAAAAATGTACGAGTGCACACGACTTCCAAGCCTTCTAATTCATCTTCCTGTTCTGTCTGCTCTCTAGGTCAAGAGGCCATCGTCGCAGATGCTGGATAAAGCAAGCTTGTAAATTATCTGTGGAGCAATCAATCGTCTCTTACATGGAAATTGCTTGATTTTGTGTGCGCCACTCACTTCATTCTAGCTCCCTACATATAATCCCGCTCAAAAGTTAAGAGAAATGGAAAGAACAGTTCTTACTGTAGCTATAAATTGCTATCCCTTGTTGTTGTTGTTAACAAATGTCAAATGAGCTGAATGAAATTTCTCGAAAATTTTCCCTCTTTCGCAAAACCTAATATTTTCACAGTGGGTTGGTAGTCTTTGTTTATACCGCTAGGTCAGTTACACCCACATTGTAGGGTTAATCCATCTGTTTAATCTGGATACATTATTGAAGTAATAAGTAAGTGATTGCCAGCAGAGATTTCTGAAATAGGTGACCAGTATGGCTACAGCACTGTCAAGTACATCACACAAAGGTTTCGTGCTTATCAGTTCCCTTATCAGATCTTACCAAACGCCATCTCTTTCTGTCACCTATGGTGTTTCCGTCCCACCCCTCCCCCTATATCTCGTCCGGAGGCCAAAGTTCCTCGTTGTGTGACCCGCGCTGTGAATTCGATGACCCGGCCCTTATGCATCCTATCCGATCTTACTCTATTATCACATACTGTTCTCACAATGTTACCGTCCCGCCCGCCATATCACTTCCATTCAGGGATAACGTTTCACTGCAGCCGTGTGAATTTGGTGATCGTCTCCTTCTGATGTACGTCGCCAAATCTTATCAGCTGCTATCACTTCCTTCATTCGCGAAACCCGGTACGATGAGGGGAAGCGACAACAAGAGGTGAAGAACATTCTGGCGCCGCGCAGCAGCAGTAGCGGACAACATTGTATTTCGTAGCCAATTGACTCAACATACTGTGACCCTTCCACATTAAATAAATTGGGGGAAACCGCCTACCTGTTTGTACCATCGCATCCGGGAAGCTGGCGCAAAGTGGATGCAGTGATTCGCGCCCGTAATCGGATTTTCAACCGTGTAAAATGTGTGACTAATTTTGGAATTGGCTAATCTTATGTCGAAACACTTCAAGTTGTACCGAAATTTGTCGGAGCTCAAAATGGACAGTAATTGAATTATTATTTTAAGGTAGAAGACGCGGATAGCATCGGTTTCTTGGAGGTGTTGCCACAGTACCAGGTGAGTCGGCGTGCTTTCTGTTGCTCTGAAATAGAAAACAGATCGGCAGTTGAGCATGGGATTGACAAGTTTAGGCCAAAGTTCAAGCAATTCACAAGGCTGTCGAAACCGGCAATCTCCGGGCCGTACGCTTGCTGACTGATCGAAAGAAGCTTGCTCTGTGCCGTGACTCCAGAGGGTTGAGCCCTCTACACAAGGTTTGCCTATTCAGAGAACATCACGATTTTATCAAAAGAAGAGCTGGAATCAGATTTGAAAATTTGCTTGGTGGTAGTCCGCATTTACTTGTTAGGTGCTAATGAGAGTAAAAGTAGCAGTAAATCAAACTAGAATATCCCTGAACAGGAGATGAACAACATTAGTGTACTACACGTTGGTGCCTGTGACCTTGCTCGTCTTTTCGTTCTCCTTCATCTCTGATCTCTCATGACATCTATCCTCGTTTCTTCGCCTGCTTGTGTAATACTCTAAAAAGCAGAAAAAAGGAAGGAATTCCCGAAGAGTTCCTCTGGGCTCTGTCTGTTTTTCCTCCATTACTAAGCCTCCTGCAAACTAGCATTTTTGGAAGAAGTGTCATCTACAAAGTCGCAGTTGAATCTCCTTAAAGGCAGTTGGCACGATAAATCCTCCAAGACGAGCAGGACTAATACGCCTGGCAGGACGGAATTCCGCGACCCTGAGCAGGCGCTGCATAATGCCTTTTCCAGGGAAAGGGGCGCTATCAAGCCACAACTTTACGTCCCGAACGCCCCCTTGACTCGCTCCGCCCCCAAGAAATCGGAACGATTATCCCAGAACGCTCTATTGATTGAATATGATGAATTGATTTGTTTGCTTAAGCAAATTATGCAAGCCGAGGCATTGGTAAATGAAAGCGGTCCCTGATGCTTGGCATGGATATCTGAGTACTATGCAGACGCGAATTCTCGGGCAGCAGTTTATTTGGTAAGATGCCTTCGGGGAAACTCGTCCAAGAATTGGATTACACACAGACTTGGGTGAAATACAGAACGCTAGTGCTTTTTCCTTTCGAATTTTGGACCGCTACTCACTCTCTACCGTCTTTCGTCATTTCCCCCACTGAATATTATGGCACCCTGACATCTCAGCATTTTAGGCCCGGAGCACTCCAATCATTCGGCCAACTGGGCCTTTTAATCATCGGATTTGCAGTCGTGAAGTGTTCCGTCCAGTGAGAAGAGGTGCATTCGAACACGTTAGGGACCTGGGAGAAAGTCGGAACGGAATTCATTCTTGTTTTTCCAATGCCAAGTTACAAGTATCTAAAACAGGAATTTTGGCTGCACACTCGCTGCTCCAACTGTCGACTGCTTAGACTTAATTCGTTAGGCATCGTTTGTGATCGAGGCCGACAATCGCCAATACCTTAACGGAAGCTACCCGCAGCGCAGTGAATGCAAGTGGATCAGGTATGAAATTGAAGGGCACCTATAAACGAACAACGTGGTGCTGCCTCTGCGATAAGCTGCCCATTACTGAAATCGCAGTGATTCGGCGCAATTAGTTGGGGCGGTGTCGATGCATGGAATGAGCCCACCCGCAGCCTTCGGCGATTGTTGTTTCTTTTTGAGCCGGCGGTAACTAACCAATCACTACCGGTTGAAATCGCAGCCAGGGAGAACTCAACCCACTTCTCCTGACACCGCCTCGACTGAATACACATGCCATCAGAACATGTTCTTCTCTATTAACCACCTCTTCTAAACATAGCCCAGGAGCCACTCCTCCGCTATGTGAAAGATCACCCATGTCGTGATAAGATGAACCAGTTAAAGCCTAAATTGTTCAGAAGAAACGGACACCTCTGCACTATGCTGCCGCTTATCGAGATGGTGGGTATCTCTACAAAATGATGCGGAAAAGCGGAGCAGATCCGAATATATACGACTGTGTAAGTGAATCCGCGTTTCCAAGGTCAGCTATACAAAGGGCACACATTTCAGAACGGTCGTCCAGCCAAGTACTATTTGAAGCACATCGGCGAGATCGACCTTTCCGCTATGAGACTTGACACGAAAGCCGCGCTAAAGCAGGTGAAGATGATGGAGCATAGTTTTTTTTGTAGTCCTAAATGAAAAGTGAGCGAGCATTTAGGTTCTTCACAACCGCGTAGCGCCGAGTTATCTAGAGTCTTCCATCCAGCAATGGTTACGAGATGGACAACTGGCGAAGCTTGAACAGCTTGTGCTTTCTGGTACGTACCCAATTTTTCTATGCTTTTTCTTTAGTAATGATGGGGAGACGTGGGTGGTTCGGTGACATGGAGGTAAGACATCTTGCATTTCTGCAACTTCCCATCGACGTGCCGACCCATCTAAAGAGCTATTTCATGAGCTTACAAGAGTTGACAGGTTTTACCATGGTGGCTCGACGAGCTTGCTCCAGCTTCACAAGAGTTCACAGGTTTCACCAGAGTGAGACTTGTAAACCGGGACCAGTGAAGCTGCAAAAGTCAGACTGCCCTCCCACTGCCGGGCCGTGCCGGGGAGACGTTCAAAAGCTCGGAAAGGTCGCACAAAGTGTTTACTACACATCATGGTTCTAGTAAGCGATATAAAGCTCAGGAAAATTGGGTTTGAAAGGCTATTAGTGCGTTGATTAGGAAGAGATTTTACAGAGAGAGGTGGGGCACCCATTTTACATCATCGTTGTGTCAAAGTTGTGGGTGTGCAAACTACGCACCCCCTCCACCAAATTTCCTCCTCCACTATGACTCCTTCACAACCTACATACCACTAACCAGAATTTTCCAAAACTTCGGAAAATAGAGGGTAGTCTTTTCCGAATTAATATCGAAAATAGTAATTCTCCGCATTCGGAAGTGAAGGGGATCATAGCTCGCTTGGAAAAGAGCGAATCGACAAGCGAAAAAAATTTTCGTGAGGCCAAACGTCCCTGAAAATTCGACTTCAGTCGGCCCCCTGGTCGCTGCTAGCAGAATCTCGTTCTTGCAATAGCATGAGTATCCTTGTGTGTACACTTAATGTGCACTACGGTCGCTACTTCTGTATCACATCTTAGGATAGGTTTTTCTCAGATATGGTTATTTTCTAAGTCTGAAACAGCTGAAGATAGAATGCCGATCATAAATCATTAAACAAGGCGAATACTTGTGGCTATCATGGAAGGCCACAACTTCTGAACGATAAACACGCGGCGCACATGTGTTCAGACGTTTATTTTTGCATATGATGGTTCCCTTGAATTTCTAACTTCACCGTTGTTTTGAGAAGTGACCAACAGAGCCTAATTATACGAAATACAATGTGCTAGAGATTCTCTGCTGATTTCAGGATGTGGCGATCTTTCTACAAACAGAAAACGCTACCACCGCAGAGAACAGCCACTTCTTCCTCGAAATCTATACCTGCTACATGGTAGGGAGTAATTGGTAATCTTATAGATGTCTCGAAAGGCTGTTCAGGTCTAGTGCTGATCTGGGAAAAAGTGCACTCACCTGAAGTTGGCGTACTCATTACTCCCAGCAACGGATCCTAATTGCCCTCATATCCAAAGCTGGATGTGTTTTTTTGCGTTTCTTACGCCTTCTTAACCAACATAATGAACATTAACAGATTCTTTCAGAGTAAAATCGAAGGAATTCATCGAGCTATAAAAGAAGGAGACCTGGAGAAGGTGAAGTCGCTCATGTCGTCAAAGAAGTTAGCAATAGGTTGAGAGATCTTCAATTTCGTTACGAGACACCACTGACCAGGCCGGTGACCGGAGCATGGGATCCCAGATAGGTGCTTTAGGGATAGAAAGTTCACAGTTTGCGTTAACTTTTCGTGCCTCTTTACAATTTTCGCCTGCTGTGGCATTTATGTGCCCCCCCCCTCCCTTCCTACCGCTTGGAAAAGGGTAAGAGATGGAAAATGTCAGGATGACTGAGCAGGTAGCCAGTGGGACCAAGGAGAAAGAGGGAGGACGACGCAAGAGGAGAGAGTCTTGGAAAGAAGGGTGGTATTCTGCGCAAGTTCCCCCAACAGCAGAATGTGCTCTCACCGTCAAACATTTCCCTAACTGAATTACTTGGCGGCGGCCAGAATTACATATCGACCCTCGAGACAACACGAGACAATTACATATCCTCGAGACATACAGCGCCCTGTTTGCGACCAGTCCCATAGTTCCACAAGCAAAGAGGGCTTGCTTGGCACACAAACGGACGGAATGAGCTCACATCCGGCGTGCCTTGCTCTGCCAATGGTCATCGTTCAGCGATTGGTTTAGGAAGAAAACAACCAGTGATGGGAACGCTGCAGATAGGCTCACTCCATCTCTTTTGAAACCACCCCGAAAACAACCAGTTGTCTCCTTTCTACCACTTCCTTGTCACAGTGACGATTACTTCGAGGGTAAACCTTTCTGTCACACTGACGGTTACTTTGAGGGGGTATAGGCGAACATACAGACTGACAGGCGATAGACGAACAGACAGATGACAAACTAATACACAGCGATAGTGATTTACATAGAAAAGTGGAAATTATTCGCTTGCATATTTTCCAAATATTCTCCTCGCGGCATGTTCATCCCATTCTGGGCATTTACTCCAGCAGGACAAGCTCTATCTATCGAAGCGAACGCAACATTTAGCAGAACCCAAACTTTTTTCCAACTTTCACATTTCGTATCCCCTAATAAAAAATAGACGCACCGATGGCCGTTTGAAAACCGAATATTTTCTTATATTTCGAAAAATCGGATATTTTCTTCAACTGCTTTCAGCCAGAGACCGATTCGGCTGCACTCCGCTGCATGCAGCTGTGGTACATGAGCACACTGAGATTGTCCGCTTTATCGCCGGTCATTTCCCGTCAGTACTGAACGCACCTGACTACGTAAGGTTTTCTTTCCGATTTCGTATGAGATCAAGCTATACAATATGGTTACAGAATAAACGTACACCCATGCACTATGCTGCTGCAGCTCGCGATGGTGGCCATTATCTGAAGATCCTGGGCAAAGCTGGAGCGGATCCCATGGCTGTGGATAATGTGAGGAGCATGAATTAGGCTTAAGAAAGGAAATTTTGCAAAAAGAAAATGTGTCCTTCAGGAAGGTCGTACACCGGATTACTACCGAAGGAATGCCGTCATCGACTTGAAGATGATCAAGGATCGGGATGAAGAGTATGAGGGGATGAGTGAAGAGTTGTTGGATGAAGGACCGTTGCTGGAGAGTCCTGGCAGTGGCGAAAGCGGATCGGAAGGGTAGGTTTATTATCTGTTATCCATTGTTTCTGCTCTGGTAGACGTCTCGAAAATGCCTTATCCTGCCGCACGACTCTTTTTTTTTTCTTGAGAAAACGGACCGGTTAGGTGAACGAGACGGGAAGTAAAGTGGGCCAGCAGGCTTCAAATGAACAAAAAGGGAGATGTATTGGCTGTTGTAACGCTCTTACATTAGACCTTCGCCACCAGTAAGGGCCATAATAATGGGACAGTTGAGTTCTTCAGACTTGTCAGGTACCCTAGAAGGTTTTTGTTCAGCTCACCAGTGGATTCCGCCCGCCTCAACGATGAGGACGATGATACGGAACGGAATCGTTTTGAGCGGATGGTGCTTGGTCGCACCGATATGCCAACGTCGGAGAACGGCATCTACTGG